GATCGGGCCCTGCGCTCGTCCGCGCCCAACAGCCTTCGACGTTGCCTCCCAGCACTAACCGTACTGCCACCGCTGAACTCGCAGGGCCGCCCGCCGCCATTTTGTGCAGTGTTTACCCCGTTGTCTCGCGAGAACGTGTGTCGGCGCCTGCACTGCGAGTCGCAGGTGTCTAGAGAAAGCGCGTTAGCGCATGCGCAGCCCAGGGAGGGTTAAGGGGCTGAGTCGTGCCTCCCACAAGTCTCGCGAGATTTCGGTGTGCTGGGCTGGCCAATGGAGAACGGGCGTGAGGAGGAAGGGCGGTCGAACCCCCTTGGGGCAGTGGCAGAGCGGCCCCAGCTTGGCATGGTTGGGGTTGGTGCGCTAGTTCTCGCCTCGGGTTTGGAGCGCAGGTTTCCGGCAGCGCCGAGCTTCAGCCGCTTGTGCGTGCACACGTGTGCAAGCTGCTCTGCCCGGGGCAGGGTACGGCGGCTGCTCCGTGCGGAGGAGTCCAGCGGTCGCTCCGGGCGGAGGAGTCCAGCGGTCCGGCAGGCGGGGGGGGTGGCTACGACTTGTAGCGCACGTCCCTGCGGTCTAGTACAGCGTTAATTCTTCCAAGAATTGGGGATCCTACCGTGCTAGTTAGTCCATTACCTTGAAAAAATATTCTCATTTTCAAAAACCAGATGTTGCATTTGTCCCAAAAGAAAGCCTTTGGCCCCCGCCCCCTGCACTTCCGGTGTGCTGCTTCAAGCATCGATGAAGCCGGACAAAGCTTTTTCTGCGGTACGGCCTCGTAGAACTCGGCCTCCATTCCAGGGCTCTGGCCCTCGGCTTAACTCTCACTGGTGCAGCTTGGAAGCACTACTATGTAAATGGCTGCAGCCCTCTTGTTTTGATCCAGGTTGAAACCCAGCAGTATCTGGACATCCCTAAATGAGAGATCTACCTGCAGCCAGAGAAACTGTTTTTTCAGCTTGGATAAGAGCTTCACATTAAATTCATTCTTTCATTAGAAAGATTAATACAAATCTGTCTCAACAGTGAATGTCCTGGCTGCATCTAGATGAGTGCAGGTCCCTGAGGCTACAAGGAAGACCTCTTAAACCAGTCTTCTGTCTATGCATGAGCCACATACAGGTTTCCCTCACTTTTTGTTGTACATGCGTTCCTGGAAAACGGCACATAACTCAAATTCGCATAAAGGGAACCCACTTTACAACGTAACAAATAGGGGTACGTTCCAAGACCTCAACTGTACTGACCCCCAGACCCATTTCTACCACTTTTACAAGACAATTTTGGTACCCACCAACAGCAGCCAGTACACACAAGCACAGGGCACTATCATAATGGGGATGGCAACTACAGAAACGTGTCACAGAGAACAAGCATGGGGCACACATCCACCCAGGAGCCTCTATTTTGGTGAGAGTCACTCCCACAATGCACTGCACAAAGCAACTGACTGCAGGCTACCACCATACCAATTGCATGAGTGAATTTACCTCACGTACAACTAATTTTTAGTATAAAAAGGGTCACTGCGTTAGAGTGAATTTGCACATACAGAACCCGCATAAAGCAAGGAAAACCTGTACATAATATTCATTACAAGCTTCTCCACTGCAACATTAAACTGAACTGACTTCCATGAGGCATGAGTGTTGTTCTCAGATTCAGAATGGGACTTCAGCTAACAATAGCAGCTTTAGTTAGGGCTGTGCGAAACAGCACCGTTTCGTTTTGACTTCCATTTTAACGGGACTGTGTCGTTTTGACTTCCGTTCCATCAAAACTGTTTTGCTGTTTTGACACTGTTTCGCCCATAGGCTAAAATGGGAAAGCACAATACTGCCTATAACTTTGTCATTTCTTGCCTGATTCGAATGAAACGTGCAGGGATGGTAGCCCCTGTGAGGCCATGAAGCTTGCCCAGTTTCAAGGAGATAGGTGCAGGGGTTTCTGGGAAACTGCATCCAAGGCTGCTGACAAGCAAAACACATGACATGTATGACAATGTATTTCCCATCCCTCCCCCAGAGCACTGGGATTGGAAGGGATGTCAGGGACGGATCACAGTCACTTGCCAGCTACACAGTCAATACCAAAGCAGTCCTTCTCCCCTCCCTTGCCTGCAAAGAAATAGAAAGTAAGCCCAGCTTGAGCTTCAAAACTCAAAAAGTTTTGAATGCCCTTGTTTCATTTTGAGGCTGTTTCAAAGCACTTTGTTTTGTTTCGATTTCACTGTTTTGAGCTCAAAATTAGTTGAAACAGCGTTGAGACAAAACACCTGGCAAAATTTTGCACAGCCCTAGCTTTAGTAACTAATATAAGTAACTAATATAAGAGTCATTTAGCACTTTTTGCAATGTGCCCACCATGTCATAGCATAGAGAAATACATTTGTTAGATCTGCAGAGCCAGGACATGCCAGAGAGCAAGCTGAACTCCATTCTGGCTAACATGTCAAAGAATTAGGTAATTCTGGTTTCAGCTAGTAAGACAGCTCAACTTTCAGCTTTGAGGTAAGGATGCACTTCTGGCAGTTACACAGAGAGCATTTTTGTGCAAACTGAGCACATTTGATAATTAAAAAAAAACAAAACGCTGACACAGAAAACCCTAATATTTTAGTCTTTTTTTTTTTTTTTTTTAAAGACTACAGCTATGTTTTAAAACGGGGATCAGCAACATTTTCCAGCACAAGGGCTGGAATGAAGCACCTCAGGTTGGAGGCACAGAGGCATTAAGAGTCAGCAGCCACCTGTTCCTTCCCCTCCCTACCCCCACCCCACAGCAAGACTGTGGCAAAAGCTCCCCTTCAGCTGAGCCTTTGCTGCCTGACAATAGCACCGCATGAGCAGATCTCCCTCTCCACTGAAAGCTCAGACAGTTGACTGTGGCAAACCATAGGGAGAACTCCCCACTGCCAAATGCTGCTGAAGACACAGCTCTACAGGCCAGGTCCAAAGGCCATATCCAGGCCACAGGCTGTTGGTTGCCAACTCTTGTTTTTTTAAAAGTTAAGCATACTGTAAGCTCTGAAAACTAAGACAAATATATGTAGTTATGTGTTCCATATAACTTTACAAAGCTACACTGTAGACAATTGTACCTTTTCATTTGTAAAGATCGGACCTATTTTTGTGCTTGTGCAGACTTAGATTAGATTAGTGCACGCAGGATATTACCACATGAAAGACGTGAAGAAATTCTTCGCACAGCTCTCCCAATATAACGCAATTATTTATTTGGAGAACAGCCGCTTGAAATAACCAAATCCAACCAAAACCACATTCTGTCTCCAGACAGGAAATCCTGATCCATTATAAACCTCATTTCCCCTCTTACCTGTAACTCCTTGTTTAACATGCTCCAACTTGGCTTATTAAAGAACCTTTTATTTGATGCTGCATTTACATAGTAAAAATTAATATAAATATAATATTCAAATTTACTTATTGTTTTGGTATTTAATTTTATGTTAATTTATGAGAAGTGGTGGCTCTGTATGCATATTCCTTATTTAAAAGAATCAAATCTATTAAGAATATGGAGTTATACATAATTTTTGCTACCTTTCAAATTGTGCATCCTCTCTCAATATCACTTCCATGAAACACAGCTCTTACCCCTATCCTGCACCAAAGATTCCCCAAATGCAGTTCACAAAGTACTAGCAGTCTCTGAGACTACGATAAATAGTCCATAGCTCATCTGTGGGTTACACTACCCCTTCACCTTTCAAAAAAAATTTTTTTACATGGGCCAAGCAGTACAGGGACATCACCAAGATCCAGGTTTCTCTGCTGTCTAGGATATGCATACTCGTTCAGAAGTGATGAATAAATGCTAGTCACATTTTTAAGTGTTCTTCCAAGATTACTGCAGTAGGTTAGCACACTGGCTATTTACAGATGAGATTTCTAATCCAATCGGTGGGATAAGGCATCCTGACGGAGAAACCAGCTTATATTGTTGGAAAGCCAGGCATACAACCACTCTGGTAAGCTCAGTAAGCAGCCCTAAAAAGAAGAAGGGGACAGAGGGGAAAGGAAGAGAGAAGTTATAAATACAATTTATTCTTTTGAAGTGAACAAGTAGCTTCTGAAGTTACTACTAAAGTATAAAAAAGACTCCTGGTCTGAACAGCAGTTACCTTTTCCCCTCAGAGTATGAGAAAATTAAGATACAAAGCCCTTACAATTATGCTGACAGATTAAAGATCAGGCTCTACAAATTTTCTTTGAACTTGTAATAGCAAGGTGTTTCCTGTTTCCTTCTTTCATTTGCCAACTTTTACATAATCCTTCTTTGCAAGTTTTCCACTTTGGACTAAATTCCCACCTTATGTCCTCCTCCCTTCCTACTTTTAAAATGCTAGGAAATTAACCATTGGGGCATCATCAGTGCATACATTAAACCTTTCACAGGAGGTTTTTGGGCACTCATTGTGCAACCAAAAACACAATAATGCCAACAAGTGAAGAGTTTATGGCATTTCAGTCAAAAAAGTAGACTTACCCCCCCCCCACCATATTTTAGCAAAGATTCTGTGAAAAGTTTTTGTTTCAACTGAGTACCAGAATCAGAAAGTAAATTTATACCTAAGTTCAGTGAGCTGAAAAATATTATTTGTGTCTTTTAATACAAGATTGTATTTTAACTTTGGTCCCTACTTTAAAAGTAGAAAATAATATATTAATTCTAAAGTAAATTACATCCAATCACAACTTAACTAAACAGAGTTGGTCAAGAATTACAGCGCACAGCCTCCAGATTATGCCAACGTATTTGTGCCTTAACTTTTCAAAATATTGTATTTTATCACATACAGCACACCCCCAAATATAATACACATCTTGCTTTTGATGGGGAAAAAGGCCCAGAGTGATGGCTGCAGGAGGGACAGAGCCTAAGCTTCAGCCAAGTCACCCTCCCTTTTCTGCGTAAGGAAAGATGAATCCCTAAGCTGCTGCTGAAGTCTGGTCACCACAGGTAAATCCGTGATTATTTAGGAAAATACCTAAAGAGTCTGTGAAAGAGAAAGACTAAGAACAGCTAGCAGATAGCAAAATTGCCCCGCAAAAGGTTAGCTTGATTAGTGGAACATCAAGACCATTAAAAAGGAGAGACTTAACTCCTGTAGAGTGAAGAACAATGAACCATTAAGTCAACTGACTTTCTCAGTTGTCTGAAATCAATACCACTGATGCTGCAATGTGGAGCAGGAATAAAACCAGGGTGCTTCCAACCCCAGGCAGAAAAATCAGCTTCCTTGCTTAATACACATGCCCCACTTTGGGATGGATGATTTTAGGGGAAAGATGTGTATGTATGCAAGAAAATATGGTACTATACTTTTTGTAGCTTTAATTGTCATAACAACAAACAAATGGAAGTTACAAGATTAACTCTGCTAAGGAAAAAGATTAATGAGGTTTACTAATGAAAGTTGGATTCATTTAATTACCTGAACAAAATGGCCCCAGTATCCTGTTGTTCTTCTGGATATCCCAAGAGTGGAAATAGCATGACGTGCATATACTTCAGCAGTAGGTATTATAAAACTCTTACTGGACAGCAACTGACTGAACTGTGTCATGTTTGTGGAGATGACCATTGGAATTAAACTCTGAACAAAGATTCCTTTCGGAGCATATTCATAATATAGAGCTCTACTGAAATAGTCCACATAGGCCTAATAAGATGAAAGCGGAGAATTAGAATTCCTTTATTTTGTAGTAGGAAGGCAACAAAATCTTGGTGTAAAACATAACTAAAAAAATCTCCTGGAAACTTAAATTTTTGTAACCTTTTAGTAAAGAGAGATAAATACATAAAACCATTATTTTGATATTAGTATTAGAATAAAATACTTTAGCATAATTCAAGATTTCTACTATTCAGAATTAATTTGCTGACAAATATAGAGTATTTTTCAGCAACTTGGAAGAGAATTCAACAAAAATCTGTTATCATTTGAAAAACCAAACTAATTTCTGGCTACGTCTTTTTAAAAATCTGCTGCTGTTACAAACATCATGACATTTACTGCATCTGAAACATTCTCTTGACTCAGATTCCCATTCTGTTTACTTCACACACATGACAAGGTTTGGGCAGTTTCATAACTTTCCCTAGAAAATCAGCTGGTTCCACTGAAGCTAGCAGACCTTCACATAGGCATAAAAGTTAAGCATACAAATATTGGAAGGATTACGGCCAAAACTGTGAGCGTCTGCAAAAACACTTCCCACCGCTCATTTTATTTCTCCCTATGAAATTAATCTTGAATAGCATGAAGCCAATAGACTTTCTGATCAGGCACAGCACAAAAATGTGTTTGGCCCAATCATACCAATAACACTAGTGCAATGCTGAAGGTTACCACCACAGTATGTGACCAGTCCGCGCTAGGAATGTTATTGATGTTCATACAAGTTATAAAGCAGCCAGACAACATGATCCCAGGGTCCCAAAGTGCGACCACACGATCAGCATCACTCAGCTGTTGAAATTCTTCTCCTGTCTCATTTCTAGAGAGTGGTGGAAAGACATGAAAATACTTACACCTATCAGTAGCTAAAGTGTGTGGGATTATTCATATCACCAAATTTAATCAAGTGCATGTTTGCAATGCTGGGGCCAGTAATCATGGTGCTTCACAGGATTTCATAGAGAGGACAGGAAGTCACCAATACCAGCCCTACTGCCATCACCATATGCTTTAGTTGCTTCTAAAACTTACAGTGGGGGAAATTCTAGATCTAGGTGGGTTAGATTCAGGTACACTTATCTCTAAATTCAGTGGTGGGGCACGACAGGGGACTCTGTAATTCTGAAACAGGTTTTCAATTAGGATGAATTCAGCAGAAAAGAAATGGTGAGAAGCAGTGATACTACTCTGTTTTTAAAGGCTTCCTGGTATTCATAGTAAATTACTGAGAAATCTTTAAAAAACAAAAAAACCTGCCACCAAAGTATGTGGCATTTAGCACTGTATGTGACCATTGGAGCACCTGAGGTAACAGAGTAAGATATAGAACTTTGAGCTCTTGGAGAGGAGGGAAAAAGAAGGATATATGGAGCCTTCCCTCCTACCTTGTGCTCTGTACAAGCAGCCATTACAACTACAGTCCTTGTGCTCCCTGGATTAGCACCATTTGCAATACCTGTCACTGCAGAGAGATCTGGCAGAGCCTCTCAGTGGTACTCTCATATGTAAATGGAGCTCCCACTATACCACTGCAAGATTAATAAATAACAGCTTCAGACTCCTCTCTGTCTACCTGTGCATACTACAGAGTTCAAATGGCAGAGAAACATTAACCCGGTGTTCACGGTCTCAAAGGGTGCCCTGAAGATTGCCTCTAGAACTACTAGTGCAGCAAGATATCTTCACAGTACCTACAAATACATACCTTGGTTTTGATCTGGCCCTGAAAAATAAGAAAATCTTCAAAAAACACCCACACACTAACAATATCCTGTATTTAATCCAAAAAATAGCTGGATTAATATAGGGTGATTTATGGGGGAACTCTTAAGTATAATTATCCTTAATAAACATGGATCTTTTAAAAATACTTTAAAAAAGTCACAATAAAACATTATACTGTCATACCTTGGAGGCTGCATATGCTGTTATCTGTGGAATGGGTTGGCAGCAGGATGCAGAGGAAATATTTACAATAGCACCTTTCTTCCTTTCTACCATCCCTGGAAGAACCATGTGTGTCATCATGTTAACAGCACCAATATTGATATTGATCATTTCCCACAGTTTATCCTCAGGCACTCTGATAAAATAGTCTGGATAGTTATAACACACTCCTACATTATTTACCAAGATCCCAATTTCCTTGTCTCTCAGATCTTCCTTAATGGCCGAGTAAATCTCACGACCTTTGCTGAAGTCAGCTACTATAAAATCAGTTTTCACTTTATAGGTTTCAGCTATGTCCTTAGCTACTGCCTGAAGCTTCTCTTTGTTCCGGCTGATTAAGATAACATTCACACCATGGTTTGCCAGTTGCTCAGCATAGGCTTTTCCAATTCCAGCTGTGGCCCCTGCAACAGAAGATAAGATAGTAGTAAGAAAATATAGCAATAATATGGTGACAGTTGTTTCCACTTTCTTGTAAAGTATGATTATTTTTTGCTTCTTATCTTCAAGTGATGTGCCATTGGAAAAGTGACTGCTCTCATTTCAAAAAGCCACAGCAGCGTGTTACTATTTAATAGCTAGTTAAAACCACAAATTCTAAATAATAAGCATAACTATAACAAAATAGAATAAGATGTGCAGTAGGGGTACAGCAGCCTTGAGACAACTCAGGTGGAAAACAAGATGCAGAATTTTACTAAGGGCCAAATATTAGCATTACATTAAATCCTTTATATGTACAGCGAGAATCTGGTACTAGGGACATCTCTGCCTGCTATTCTGCCTCTTCAACACCCACTTTCAACTAGACTGCAGGAGATGTTCCAGGACATTCATTAGCTCCAAAGTCTGACTTGACAAACAAAACATCAGAATAACCAAGTAAGGAGGAAAGAATGGAAGGGTCCAGGAAAAAAGGTCTTACAGGAAAAGATTGTAAGAATGTAGAAAAAAGTCAGTGAAACTGCACACTGGAAGTTTTAGGGTGACTGCCACTGCTGTAGGAAATCCTACTACCTTCCTTTTTGCATTCCCTAAGGAATATTTTAAAAGGAGCTGAACCTGGATCGCTTGGAAGCTTAACTGTTAATTCTGTCATTTTAGCAACAGCATCCCCTTCTGAATCATCTAACTGAAAAAAAGAGCTTAACAAAAATATACTACACATCACCAAAGCATATATAGGGAATAACATGTAGCAGGAAGAAACATTCTGGTGTTCTGTTCAACTAGGGCCACCCTCTTTCCCACCCCAAAACTCAGTGGCTGGGGAAAAAAGGGAGCATAGGGAGGGCCAGTGGTATTGACATTTACCTGTGGGGTCCCAGAGCTGTGCCAAAGCAGTGGTTCTGACAAGAAGCTACACTGATAAGATGGTGAGCTCATCTTACTGTACATGCACAACAGCTCAAGGGGGTACAACTGCACCCTCTACATTCCCCCTGGATCTCTCTCTGGCTCTTTGGACTCAATTGTTTTAGGACTCTCTCACAGTCGAATGTAGTAACATTTGTGCATCCTTTGAAGGGATTATGAGAATGCACAGAGAGACTATCAGTATATGAGTGATTTAGTTTGCACTGTCACAGTGGTTCCAATCTGAATGGGAGTTAATCCCAGGTTCTCATCTACACCCCACTAGTAAACTAGCCTGGGCTCAACATGCCTCTAATAGTCTAATTACAAATAAGAGATTTGTGCATGTATGGACGGTAGTGGTGATAGGAGGTGGAGAGGTTTGGACTAGAACCTAGAAAAGGGCACAAGATAACTCTTCACAGAGGATATACCATTTCATATAAATAAATAAATAAATACCAGAACCAATATTTCAGTCTCTTACCAGTGACCACAGCCCATCTTCCATACTGCTTAATCAGATCAGCCTTTCCGACCAGTTTAGGGATGAAATGCAACCTGATCAGGCTGTAACAATCCCATGCAAAAACGATACATTTTTTAGCTGTATAACAGGCTCCAATTATAGCCAGTACCTCCGTGTAACAACTGCAAGTACGGCCAATCTCCTTGTACAAGAGGGAAAAACTGTCAACTGCAGCCATGGCAATAAGTAGTCTAAAAAAAAAAAAAAAAAAAAAAAAAAAAATGGAACAGGTGATGTATTAGTAATTATCAGCAGGTTAGCAGTATTGCTCTTACATATGCAGAACAGAGGATAATCTTTGAGATACAGTGGAATTTTACACTCAGTAATTGTGTTTAGTAATGCTTCTGGATGCAATAGACATGATTGCTTCCTTCCAAAGCTGCAGTCTAACATTTGACAACTGCACTGTCCAGTCCTCTCAATCTGACTTTTCTACCTTCCTTTTCCCATACAGGCAACCCTCACCATTCTCGGGAGATACGTTCTTGTATCCCCCGCAAATGGCAAAATTCACGAATAAGGCGCTGTGCTCATGAACGCAGTGTGTTCATGAATGCAGAGCCTCTGGCGGCTGGGGGGGGAAGGACAGCTCAGGCTGTGATGGCGGGAGTGTGGTGGCTGCAACAGGAGCCCGGCAGTGGGAGCCCAGCGGCAACAAGCGTGGAGCTCCGGAGGAGCTCCTATAAACGTATACAGTGCATTTAAAACACCAAACACCACGGTATCAACTGCACCTCAGGTGAATCCTGATCCAGTCCTTCATCTTTTCTTGATCTATTTATTGACAGTCTTCTGGCTGCCCCAAATTCTCTCTCTCTAGAAAAATGATGCTCAACCAGGACGCCATAGCAAGATAAACAAATGAAATAAACCCACAGCAATTCAACAGCAATCCACAATATCACAAACATTCTAACCTTCTGTGGTCCGAGTTCTTTGCAACAAAAGAATTACTCTATTATTTTTCTGTAGTCAAAAAATAAAGTGAAGACTGAAAGATAGCATTTTCCTGAGAGGTGCTTTGAGTCCAATGAGGTTGAGAACCACTGTTCTGGACTGTCACATGAAGGATGATCCTACTATATGTTTCCCCATACATGGCCCAAACTCTAGGCCCAGAATCACATAAGTACTTAATTCCACTCTTCCACTCCCTGCTGCACAGTGCAGCACAACACTGCACAGACACTCATCTGCCATGCACCGTGCAGGTGCTTTCTGCAATACTGTGGCTACACCGGGGTGGGGGCAAAATGCTGAAGCCAGTGGAGGGAGAGGGAGTCCAGAGATCCTGGTCTTGTTACAAAAAACCCAACATAATACCAAGTTTTATTAACAGGAAGGACTCTTGCAAGTCAAAGGAAATGATTCTTCTACTCTATTCAGCACTGATGAGGCCTCACCTGGAGTACTGTGACCAGTTTTGGGCGCCACAAGAAAAATGCAAACAGATTGGAAGGAGTCCAGCAGAGTGGCAGAAATGATTAGAAGCCTGGGAAGCATGATTTAAGAGGACAGGCTGAAAGAGCTAGGGTTACTTAGCCTTGAGAAAAGAAAAATAAAGGTGGGGATTGGCATTTGATAAGTCTTCAAATACTTAAAGGGAAATTATAAAGACGATAGAGATGGACTTTTTTTCCTGTCACTGGAGGGACAGGACTAGGAGCAATGGCCTTAAGCTGCAGCAAAGACAATTTAGGTTGGAGATTAAAAAATAACTTCCTCTCTATGAGGGTAGCTAAGCACTGGAACAGGCAACCTTGAGAAGTTGTGGAATCATCCTTGGATGTTTCCAAGAACAGGTAAGACAGAAAAATGACAGGGATGGTTTACTCAGGGATGATCCTGCCTTGAGTAGGATGCTGGACTAGATGACTTTAGGAAGTCCCTTCTAGCCCCAACTTTCCTCTGACCCTATTCTACTCCTCCTATTTAAACTACTCCACTTTGCAAGGAATAATACAAAGATTCCCTGACCCAAAATCAGGGATTAAGAACAATATGACCTTGTAAACCTAGTGATTAGGGCAACCACATCTGAATTTCAGTCCCTGCTCCAATGTCTATGTATCCAGTGACAGTTTACTGTCAAAACCATGAACAATCTTGGGAGAAGAGACCAGGAACCAGCCCACATGGTATATGCCCCAATCACTAGCCTATAGTAGAAGTGCTCAACCTCCAGCCCATGAGCCAAATGTAGCCCACAGAGCCTTGGAATCCAGCCCGCAGGAGGTTAGGAAATTTGGTGGTGAGGGATCAACAGCAGTGCTGCCACCCTTCCCTGCTACCAAAATTCCAAGCTCCATAGGACGGGTCTGAGCTGGACCACAAGACTCCTTCTTTCTGGGCTGCCAGGTTGGGAACAGGCTGCACCACCTTCTCCCCACAGGGCCGGGCCGAGCCGAGCCATGCTCCCTTCTTCATCTGGTCAGGTTGGGGCTGGGCCATGCCCCGTTACTCCCACAGGCTCAGGCTGCTTTCTCTCCCCCTCCAAAGCTGGTTCAGGGCCAGACCACATACCTTCCCCCCACCACCCCCCAGGGCCAGGCCATACCCACTTCTCTCCCTCTGGCCAGGTCAGGACCAGGCCAGCCCCTCATGCGGCTGGCTCAGGGCCAGGTCACAGCTCCTCTCCCCCTCCCCGCTATCCTCTGCACAGCGGGATGAAGCAAGGCTGCCTCCCCACCCCTGACCCCCATGCAGCTGGATAGAGCCCTGCCAGATCCAGCCCAGAGGGATCAGGCACTTCCCATGAGGTCTGCCAGTCAAAAAGGTTGAGCAACACTGGCCTATAGCGTCATTCTCATTCTCGCTCCCTCCTTCTAGCCCCCCTCCCCATGTTGGTCTTTTTGGAAAATGGGTACAGCTTCAATGGGAGAAGTGAATGAAGGGTGTCTCCACTGCAAAACAGTTACAGTTTGGAGACTCCCCTGGGAGTGGGAGACATATCTATGAAAGGAAATAATCAAATTTATCTCCCACATCCTGGGTGAGTGCGCCAATCCAAACTACTGTATAGATGGGAAGACCACTGCCCCATCCCTATATTTTAAAAGAAAGGAGCAACTCCTTTACCATTTGTGAAAGGACTTGGGTAGATACCTTTGTGGAGAGGATGGGGAGGATGAAATTAAAACTGTGAATCCCAAGTGCAGGGAATGCCTACATAGGCATTTAAGTCTCCCATATCCTGCCTCTCTGAAACACTTTCATACTTAACAACTCTATTGGGTAACTTTCAAGCTCCCTGCTGAGCATGCCAATTTTTGCTAAGCCTGTTCTGAAATGAATAACTCTTCCCAAGTATCCACACTGTCCTCTCCACTGTCCATTCCACCCTAGGGCCAGGCACAATAGGTGGAGCCATGGTCAGCACTGGTAAATTAAAGTCCTTTAACAATGCTGCTTTCTACCTGAAACTGCTTCCCTCTATACTCACCCATTAACTTTCCAACGTTTTGCAAATTATGGGTGCAAAACTCCCCGCCCCCCCGCATACAATAATTGATTTCTCTGTTATTGTTTTGTATGCGACCCCAGAGCACCTCAGCTGACTTCCTGCCCCTTGGGCAGGGGGCTGGACCCAATGATACTGCAAGGTCCCTTCCAGCCCTAATGTCTATGAGATCTATTTATCAGTGTAATTGCATTATTTAACCTATGAAGTGTTTGGGCATGGGAGATTTCACCCAGAATATAGCTATAATATACTGTAAAGTTTTCTGCTGTCTTGCAAGGGCTTATTTCTTGTTTTAGAACAGATACAATCAAAGCAAACCAAATCAGTAAACACTGCTCACAAATGAAATAGAGGTGTCATTAGATTAACATCAAAGAGAGAGGATAGTAGCAGTTATTTGAACCCCTTCTCTTCAGCAATGAGACCACACACAGCTCAGTATATTTATAGTTATTTGCCAAATATGCTTCAGGGAGGGTAGTAGTTTACATTCAACAAAACTGTGGAAGTTTGACCTAGACCTACAAACAGCAACACTAAAGTCGCTGCCAAAACTACACTCCAGTTCTATAATTATATTGTGCTGCTTACCCAAACTGATGGTTTCAGGCAGAGAAATACTTTAACTTCCGTTCCTAAATTATTATTCAGTATTCCCAATAATTGTAAGCCATATTTTACCCCCAAAATAGCTATGTTTTAATGTGGCAATCACTCACCTGTCAGTATACACATATGTAAAACTGTAAAGCATATTGGATACCATTTCTTTTGTATTAAGCAGTGCTAACTTTGAAACTTAATTGGTACAGGAAAATTATTACTGCTTCAAGCTTAACTGGAAGGGGTTTTTCTCTCTCTACTAGGCCAGACAACAGATCTTTATTCTTAGCATATGCATACGAGCTAGGTAGGGATTTGCACACTTTGCAATGACTTCAGTTTGCATCTATACATGACATGCTCATTAAACAAAACAACCCACTCATGCTTGGAAATCCAGACACAAACATTCTTGCCCAAGTCATTTACTGCCTAAAACAGCATGAAATTACTAATGTTTTGCACATGAATTGTCACCATCTATAAAGCAGTGTTGAGCTACATAAATTTCCTCAATAATCTACTGTAAATCTTTATCTGACATCCTTTAATTACTGCCTTATTAATTTTAAGTGACACTCTCAACTCAGAATGTGGACTGTATCAAAATCTGACTTAAAAAATACCATCAGATACCTGTGAGATCCTGAATTTAGAATATGTGAATGCTTCCAGGAAATAAACAAACATTTGTAAAAACAAAAGGATAATTTTTAGAAACCAATCAATAGTACTTTGTGCAAAATATGTCCATAGATATCAGCTAGAATAAAATAAGGAATAACCGACCCCTTTTCAATATTACTAGAATAGTACAAAGTCTGCATGGGAAACATCACTATTTTGCTAGTTTTCCACATTATCTACAGGAGTAAACCAAACCCCAAATCAAGTGGTAAGAATGAAGAAATCAGGAAAAACAATACGTTTGGAAATGCTGATTTAAGAAAAATAAATAAAATAAATCTAAAACTCTATTCCCTAACAAAGCTAAAAAATGTCATTGATGTACTGCAGACATGACACTCCCATTATCAAGGCACTGGGTAACCCCTTGACCCCATCTGCAGGTGAAGAGAGCTTCTAAATAAAGATCAATAATATTATAACAAAACCCACCACAAGAATCTAAAAAGAGCCTGTCCTCACTAAAAGTCTTTACAATATGTACAAAAGAATGCCTCTCTAGTCTGAAATCTCTATGCCAGTAATGGAAATTTTAATCCCTGAACTAACCCAGTAGATCTCAATTTCCATGAAAGGACACCAAATCTTATTTAATATTCACAGAGTATATTAAGTTACTGTAAACCATTCAGAACAGAGCCTTAAGTCTTGTATGTGTTCTAGAAAGAGTCTTGGACTTAGTCAAACATAGAACAGCACAAAATAGTTAAAACAGAACTTGGCAAAGAAAAGTCATTGTGGAGGAGAAAACAGAAAACTACTTTAATCTTGATGGCTGCATAAGAAATGGTAAAAGCCAGGAATAGGAGATCACAGACAAATGGAAGAGCAGAACAACAGCTGGCACAGGATGGAAGTGACACTTGAGATGTATCAAATCTAATAAAATCAATTCTTGAAAGTTAAGTCAAGAGAACCACATACTTATTTCTCTCAGCAATTTTTAGCAGTTGATCTGTTTAACAATTACTAACTTTCAAGCAAATATTTCCAGAAAAAATAATATCTTCCCATTATTAAATTATCTAATGGTAATAGCTGTCATTGATCTTGTCTTGTATACCAAATTTTGCTGATCACTAGCCTCATGCTTCTTGCTATTATATAACAAAATACTAGCAATGCTGAAATTACCCTGTAAAATGGAGAAATATGTAATTTCTAGCCCAAGGAACTTGAAAAAACTTATGAAAAAATAATATAAAACAAAATACAGGCACTACACGATTTATGTATATAACATAAATCTGTGGCAACACAGATCATATCTAGAGATGCAAATGCTTTACATATGCCCATTCGTGATGCGAGACCTTAATTTCTAGTGATGGAATTTCATTGGTTCCTACAATATTTTATGACTACTTAAAAGTTAGAATTTTATTTCTTCTTTGAGAGTGACAACAGAAGATTTTTAATTCTTGAGAGCAAATGCAGGATAATGTAATGAGCAATTTGAACCTACTATTTGGAATGCCTTACCCAAGTATATGTTATTAAATGAAGATGGGCCCAGAGAAGGATTCATTTTCTTAAAAGAACAAGGAACAGCCATGAAAACATCCTGGAATGGTCACTACATTAGCTCTTTACACAACAGTTGCTTGTAGACATTAAAAAAAACAACCCCCACCCCAAAAAATGGCACTTTACTTTAACCACTGTGCACTCTTGTGCCAAGCCCAGTGCATGCCCAGAAAAGGCAGCGTGTTGGACCCATCGCTTCAGTATCTGTATGGATCAGGCATTTTAGTGGTTCAATAGTGACTGAATCAGCTATTAGATAAAAGCACCAAAAATGCCCCACTAAAATGCCCAGTCTATACAGACGCTACAGATCCAGGTCAAAGTAACATATTGCTTCTGCCAATAAAGCACGGGGGGGTTTGGGGGGTTTGTTTCATGTTCTTTTTTAACATCTGCAAACAACCTACAAGTCAGAATACCTTGCTTTAAACTTGCCTGTGTAAGAAAAAAAAACCTCAGTCTTTGCTAGAAGAAGCTGATGGAAGTCTTGTACAGCAGACAACATCCTAGAGGCCTACAGGTAATACCACTTCAAGAGGATGGGGCCAAGCCAGTTAGGATGTATGCTCATTCAGTGTACCCTGCATCAAGGTTCTTGGTGCATTCTGTCACTTAGAGCTGCACCTTTCAATGGAGGCCACAAGGAACAGCACTACTACTTACTGCAGGGGTGGGCAATTATTTTGGGTGGAGGGTTGCTTACCAGAGTTTTGGCAAGCCATCAAGGGCCGCATGACAGGCAGCCAGCGGCGATAAATATACATTTTCTGAATTTTTTAGGGGCCCTGTGGGCCGGATAGAATGGCCCAGCAGGCCACACCCGGCCTCTGGGCAGCATTTTGCCCACCCCTGACTTACTGCCTCTCAAGTGAATCATCCCCTAATTTGGGTCTTAAGAATAGCTCTGACCACCTCTGTATTATTTGTTCTCATTTCAGTCACTCAGTGAATGGTGAAATTCACAAACTATTCTGTTGGAAAATATTAATTCCTCTCTATTTACTTATGGGACTCAAGGTCACTAGCATACAAGGCAACTGAAGTAAGCATGTCACTCATCCACGAAGTATTGTCTTCACCCTGTTTTTCTTTTTTGTTTTGTTTTTTTACTAGTCATGCTTGCTTTTTCTTGATGCCATTTTTGTAGTAATACTTTGTTATTTCAGCTTTCTGAACTTGTTAAATTTTTAATCTTAAATAATTTTTACCACCAAATCTTTTAAAAGACAAAAACAAAACCTGCCCCTCAAGTATTCATTGTGAAAAGCAAGCACAAATGAACCTGCTTTACTCCTTTAATAGCTTTTCTTTTGTATCAAGTAAAACTAAATCATTACAGCAGATGAAACCCATGACATTTTATATACCATGTGAAAAACTGGTCCAGTATATCTGATGAAATGCTTGAAGGTATTGTTAGCGAGATAAGCCAGGCAGCAAATCCCCCCTCCTTCTGCTTATTGCTCAGCACCAGCTGCTGCTTCAAAATCAGAGGAAAACATGGACAATGGATTTTCACACCACCTAAAATACCAAGCGCGGTACTGACAAACCATAAATTGAAAGATCCATAATCCAAGTTTTCATACACTCAGCTTTTATAGAGGCAAGTGTGACATTTTCTATATCCTGAATATACTTTAAACCAAGGTACATTGTAAAATTATGATTTTAGTGGAAACACAGTGCCGGAACCCGATATTTGAAGTTTCTAAGGCCAGGATCTAAATTATAATTCAGATGGATTCTCTCCATCCTAATTTGAGAAAAATTATTTGTGGGTCCTGAATGTAAAAGGTGATAAGCCAATGATCAAAAGTCCACCAGGAGGAAACAATGGGACTTATTCAGCCTTGTGGCAAAGTGGCAGGAAATTCAACTGAATTTTTTTTTTTTTTAAACTTATTCTGAAGTTGGTGCACTACCTTCTTTCTTGTACAAAAGAGAATGCTGGCAGGGTGTTTTGATTTTACTACACAAAGAAACATACGTAACCGAGCGTCATGAGACAAGGGAGAAACTAGGAGACTGATATTCACTCTTGACAGAATATGAAAGTAGTTTAAGAGAGCTTGTATCACAAATTCTACTTTTCACTTTAGTAAAATTAGGCCGAGGGGCGCAATTGAGTTTGCTGATGGGACGCTGCAAGCTAGTCATTACAAACTGGCAAAAACCTGAAATAAGAAGAGTGAGCGATGGCCACAAGGAAGGAACATTTCAAGAAACTCTAAAATGGTTAAAAAAAACCCCATTACATGACATTAACGGGGCTGTTGAAATTGGACCATCTCCAACTGCAAGAAACAGCACTTGCAATGAAAAGGATCAATCTAACAAAAGACCTTAAGCAAGAGTAGACACAATGCATTCACTCTGTACAGATGCACTGGAGACTGGACAGCAGCCTGACGACCCAACAAGAAAGACTGATCCATGCCCAATACCAGAGGCGGAGGCTGTCAAAGTGCACGAGTCCCTTTCTTTGGAGGATTACTAATGGCTCCACTTAGCCCTGTGGCGCCGAGGGAAGCGGCCCCAGGAGGGGCTGGGGGGCGGGGCGCGGCGCACGCCCAGGCCGGGGGTGACCGAGAGCGCAGGGGCTCAGCTCGGCTCAGGAAAGGGCGCTGCCCCAAGTGCCCTCCGCCTGCTCCAAGGGTAACGCCAAACGCCCGCCACCAGCAAGGGCCCGGCCCGCACATGGCGCTGCAGCTGCCGGCGCAGCGTT